GGCCCCGCGGCCACTGCGAGGGCCGCCCCTGAGGGCCGGTGACCCCCGGCGGTGGGATCTGTGCCCGCTGCCTGCGGGGCAGGCGTCTGCCTGCACCTCCTCGGTGCCGCCGGGCCTGCTCTCTCGCCTGCTTCACTGCGCCCTCACGTCGGCCTGCCAGGGCTGCCTGCCTGCGGCGGGGGACGCGACGCCATGTCCCCTGGCTCCTCCTCCTCTTCTTCCTCCTCTTCCTCCTCGCTGCCCGAGTCCTCGTAGAGGCAGAGGGTGGCCTGCACCGGGAAGTTCTCCAGCAGCTTCTCCCCCACGCCATACAGATAGTCGAAGGACTTGGACTTGGGCCAGAGCAGCCTGCGTGGGCAGAGTCGGGGTGAGGGCCCCCGCCTGCCCACTGCCCTCGGTCCCGGCCAGGGCGCCGGTGGCAGGGGAACGTACCTGACTGGGTGGTGGAAAAACGCCAGCGCTTTGTCGGGGCCACCGTTCCCCGCCGCCTCCCGAGCCCAAGCCTGCGGAGACACAGTCGGGGGGCTGGGGCTCCCGCTGCCCCTTCCTCCCGGCACAGCGGCAGCACGGCGCACGGGGACCCAAAGCTGGCAGCGAGGGCAGGGACCTTTCTCTCCCCTTGGCGGGGGGCGATGCCCCACAGACCCGGCAGAGTCCTGCAGGGTCAGCCTGCCCCGAAGCCAGCATCTCCCCCTGGGTCTAGGTCCTCATGCCCTCACGAAGGAGGCTGGCATCTACCCCTGCTCCCGATGGGCTTTTTGCCAGTGTAATCTCCCCCCACCCCGTGCTCAAAAGCTCATGCCCAGGCGTCCCGCTAACCCCCTGAGGAATGCCCGCCAGGCCTGGGAACAGGCGGCCCTTTCAGGCCCTCGCGGCACGGCTGTGCTGGCTGTGGCTGTGCGGGGGGTCTGCCTGGCCCTGCCCCAGCAAGGCTGCATGGCTTGTGGGGCAGAGAGGTGATGCAGCAGGGGAGCTGGGCACGGCGCTGCCATGCAACAGTGCTGGGGGTGAAGGAGTCTGGGGCGAGAGGCTGGTTTTCTGCCAAACAGAGACCCCAATCCTGCCAGCAGAAACTGGGGGGGACACAGCAGGGAGTGTAGAACTCACAGTGTCCGTCTGCTGCCTCCGCTGCTCGGTTCCCTCCTCTGCTCTGGGCAGCCACGGTCTCCAGAGAGGCAGAGATCTAGGTGCAGAGAGCAGGCTCAGTGCGATGGCCGCCCACCCTGGCCCGCTCTCCTCTTGCCTTGCTCCCGCCCCACCGCAGCCACACACCCACAGCCTCACCCGCCCAGCTCAGCCCCTGCTTGGGTGCATGGCTAGGGTGCCAGGCACATGTGGATGCACTCATACCACCTTGGCTTCAGTGCTCCTCGCCCTGTTTGAGTCCCACAGCACCCCTGGGAGCCCCTGGCATTGTGCCCCAGGCTCTGCCCCCTCTCCTACTCAGAGCTGCTGGGATCAGAAGGGTCCCCATCACAGTAGGGAGCTGCACAGCCTTCACCCCAATCCAGCTGGAGCCTTCCCCATCCCACCTCCCATGCACCCCCTGCCCTCCCCAGTCCCACGAGGCTGTGCAGCACCCAGGTACCTTCCCCCTTGCTCCAGTCCCGAGGCTAGGGGAGCACTGGTCCCAGGCACCGGGAGCCTGTCAGGAGGCAGACAACAGGCAGCAGCTTCCATGGTGGCAGGCAACAGTGTCTTCTCTAACACTGCAGACCCTTGGCGAGGACATCTTTATAGCCCTGCCCTGGCCCATGACTCACAAATTCTTTGGGGCAGGGGCAAGGGCAGGGGAGCGAGGGACTGGGGGTGGGGGGACAGAATTCCCCAGGGTGTGAAATTTGTCCCAGTTGTGTAAACAGAGGGTTGGGGGGAGGCTGGGGGCGGAGGGGCTGCAATCTTTGGTGGAAAAGCAAAACACAGAAGGGAAAAGTTAGACACCATTTGTGAGAAAATCCCCAGGGGGGAACAGGGGAGGGCAGAGACAATTAACAAGGATGATTAAATGCTCTTTGTAGCCATTTGCATAAGGGGGGGAGTGGGGAAGGGATGGGTAGTGCTGGGGCAGCCTGATGGGCATGCCATGGGGACAGTGTGGTGGGCTTGTGATGGGGACAGTGCAATGGGCATGATGAGGACCAGGTGATGGGGACAGTGTGATGGGCTGCAGTGGTGGCAAGCACAGAGCAACCAGGAGGCAGGTGATGGGAAGTTCAAGAGAGGACAGGGAGGGAAGACGGCTGGCAAGGGCATCGTCCCAGGGAGCTGCCGGGCCCCGTTTCCACACTGCTGGCACAGTGAGGAGAGCACCTGCTTGCCCGTGCTCCCTGCCCTCTCCTTTGGCTTTTTGAGATGTGGACAATACTGGGAGGTAGAGCAAAGCTTCTCGATACGAGGGTGCAAGGCTTTCCCCCCCCCCCCCCCTCCCCCCAGCACTGCCACACATCCCGTCCTCTGCCTGCTGCTCCTGCCCAAGTGCTCAAGGCAAGGTGCTGCTCGCAGACAGGTCACCTCCTGCTGCCAGGAGCGTTTCAGTTTGGGACAAGGAAAGAAAATAGCAAATGGTCCCTGCTGTAGCTTTGCTATCAGCATCCAAACACCCCTGTCCAAACGCCGGCCGGACCCTGCTCAGCTCTGAGCACAATTTGTCACCAGAGGCCCTCCCTGCCCCTCTCCATCTGTGGCAGCCGGCAAGCAGGAGGGGGCATGGGGCCAGTGCAGCCCTTATTACTGTCTCCATTTGCTCCTCATTTGGGCCAGGAGTCTTACAACAACAAACCCCGCAGAGGACAAGCAGGGACAAGAGGAGCGAACTGAAAGCCCAAGCTCACCCTGCGGGCACGGGGAGTTCAACCTGCTGGTGTTTCACTGCCCCTCTGACCCCAGCACAGGCGATGCAGCCCAAAGCAGACACATGGATGGTGGCACACAATCACCCGCTGGCCACCAAGGCTGGCCAGAAAGGTGACAGCAAGCCACAGACCTGAGCCACTTAGGCAAACCTACCCTGACAATTAATAGACAACAAGCAAAATGAGGCATCCTAGCTCCCCAGTCCTTCCCGACACCGAAAGGGTTTAATTCTGATCTGCAATAAGCCTCTGATCCAGGCTGAGATTTGCAGGTGGATTTTGCAAAGCCCTAGCTAAACAATTTGCAGCCTCTGATCCCCCTGGCCGGGGCCCCGGCTACTCGCCCTGCCCCGAACAGCCACCTCCGGTCCTGGGTGACCCCCAGCCACGGCCACCCTCCATCCTGCACCACGTCTGCAGCCACCTCGGTAAGTACCTCAGAGCACCGGCACAACCTTCCCATGACTTTTTGCCAGAACCCTGAGCACCTCAGGTGTTTCTTTTGCAGCAACACCCCTGAGACAGAGCAGGAGGTCTTGGTTAGCGCACAGGAAAGGGGACAGAAAGTTGGGGAACTTTGGTACCAAGCATTTGAGGTGCCAGCGGGGGGACGGGGAGAGGAGCAGAGGCACTGGGCGGTGGCAGCACTTTCGGCCGGGAGCGTTCCCAGAGCAAGAGGCCGCCGGCCGCAGTGTCGGCATGGTGTGGCATGGGCTCAGTCCAGTTTCGCAAGACGCCACGGGAGGGGAAATTTTGAAACAAGGCAGAGGGAAAACAAACCACCCCACTCCACTGCCCCTGCCAACCCCCCCCCACCCAGGGCTGCGGGCAGGAGATGGCACCAGCAGAAACCCCCCCACTGGCAGCAGCAAGCACAAGCCACACCCCAGTATGCTCACCCCACTGAGGGACGGGTCGCACCGCTTGGCTGGGGTGCTCCTGGAAAGCATCCCTGAGATGCTGCCAGCGTGCTTTGCCCTGATGTAATTCTGCCCTCCGTGGACCTCCGGGCTGTCCTGGGGATGCAGGTGTCACTGCCACCTGCATCCCTCTCCATCGTTGTCCCCAGCAGCACAGAAGGGCTGATAGCCATGGTTCAACCTCAGGTGGGCACATCCCATTGTCCCACCAGAGTCTTGGTAGCTCAGGGTGCGTGGTGGGTGGCTGCAGATGCCTTGGGTGAGCCCCATGCAGATGGGCATGAGGTGCAATTCCCCTTCCTTGGCTGGGGGAGCCTCAGGGTCACCACTTGATATCGCCTCCGGCAGGTCCCAAAAGACATGGTGCAGCCGTAGCTTTTTGGCTTCCTTGGCTCGGGATATCATAGAAGACAAGGGACCCCCAGGAAGGCAGCAGGCGCTTTTCCCCTGCCAGCGGCCAGCTCTCCATCCCTGCCCGTGGCCCCCGTGCAAGGGCGGGCTTTGGCGTCCTTCCCGGGCAGCGCTGCTCTGCCTCTGAAGTCTGGCTGGGGAGATAGTGGAGGTGAAAGGGCGCTTGGCACTCCTCCACAGGCTTGGGTCAATCGTTAATCAGGGAGGGATTGCTTTCCACTCTTGCAGGTAACCTCTCCTCCCCCTGGCTCCCACCCACACGCCGGTGCCCGCACAAAACCAGCACCCCGGGAGTGGGGTGGAGCTGCGGTGCGGAGAGCAGAGCCGCTAGCAGGGCCATGGGAAGGTAAGCGCACGGGAGCGAGCCGACGACGAGCCAGGTGAGAAGCTGTGAGCCCCGGGGAGGTAACAGCCAGCACCCACCATGGTCTCCATGGGGCTCCAGCTGCTAGGCTACGCCGTGGCCTTCCTGGGCTACATCGGCACGCTGACGGCCACGTTGCTGCCCAGCTGGAAGACCAGCTCCTACATCGGCTCCAGCATTGTGACAGCTGTGAGCTTCACCAAGGGGCTGTGGATGGAGTGCGCCACATACAGCACGGGCATCACCCAGTGTGACATCTACAGCTCCCTGCTCAACCTGCCTGCCGACATCCAGGCAGCCCAAGCCCTGATGGTGAGCTCCTGCGCTGTCTCATCCCTCGCCTGCCTCCTCACCGTCGTGGGTATGAGGTGCACCGTCTTCAGCCAGGGCTCGCCGGGCAAGGACCGGGTGGCGGTGGCAGGTGGCACTGTCTTCATCCTCGGGGGGCTGCTCTGTTTCATCCCGCTGGTGTGGAACATCCATGTGGTGCTGCGGGATTTCCACAACCCCAGCCTCCCTGACAGCATGAAGTTTGAGCTCGGGGAGGCGCTTTACCTGGGCATCATCTCCTCCCTCCTCTCCCTTGTTGGCGGCTTCATCCTCTGCACCTCCTGCCCTGCCCGGGACCCAACAACCACCTACACGAGCACCTACCAGCCCCGGCTGCTGGCGAGCAAGAGTCCCCGGCCCTCCGTCAGCCAGACGCAGAAGACCAAGAGTGAGCTCAACTCCTACAACCTGACGGGATATGTGTAGCAGCTGCAGGTGGGAACTGGGCTGGCATCTCTCCCAGCTTCCCAAAGCATCTGGGCTGGCACCGAGGGAGCGCGGTAGGAGGAGAGGACATGGCGACATCTCCCATGCTCAGCCCTCTCACTCACATGCTTGGGGGGTTTAACCCCGCTCTCTCCCTGGGGATCCCAAGAGCCTTGTGACTGCTCAGAGATCCCAGCCAATGTCTTACATCGGTGAAGGACCCCGAATCCAGCTTCTCTTCCCTTCTCTGTGCTGCCAGCCCACAGACAGCCCCTGGGACAGTGGGACACCAGCCTGCAGCCCCAGAGAGCCTGCCTGGATGGGAGTGGGTGGGCCTGTGCCCTCAGGGACCAGCCTGCTGGCCTTGGAGGCATCACAGTGGGGTCAGGGCATCTGCATGGGTCTGGAGTTGCTGCTGGGGGTTGAGTGCTGGTTGTAAACCAATGTCACAATAAATCTGTGTTTCTAGCCAGGCTGCAGCTGAGCTTTCCTCTGGCACTGAGGGGCCCTGACAGTTCCCCCAGCATGCTGCGCTGTGGTAGGGGCCACACTTGCCCACCTGGCAGGTCCATACTGCAGAGAATGCCCCGGCCCTTCCCCTGTCCTGTCCTGGCCCCTGTCCCCCCACCATGGCTTTGCTACCCAGGAGCCCAGGCAGGTGGGAGCACTGTCAGGGGGTGAGAGGGGTGTCACTCCCCTGCATGGTTTGTCCCTGGGCACCATGCTGGGAGGTTGCCATGTGCCACCATTGCGGGGGTGCCAGTGGGAGCAAGCACAGCTCCCCAGAGGCTAATGGCAGGCAACACCCCCTGCTTCAGCCCTGCTCTGCTTCTAAGGGTGCAGGTATCACTGGGATGGGGGTGCCCACAGGGGGATTCGCTGCCCCTGGGTGCATGTGGCATGTCAAGGTTCCCAGGCGGTGGGGCGAGCCCTGGCATCACTGCATCTCCATCCGAGGATGCTGTGAGCATCGGCACTCAGGAGGCAACACGGTCCCAAGCACTGGAGGCAGCCTCTGGCCATGGTGGAGGCTGAGCACCCCAACACAGCTGCAGAGGGGTGTCGCAGGTGGGTCCTGAGCCCAGGGGTCCTTGCAGGGGGCTGTTTTGGGACAAAAAACACCACCAGCGAGACATCAGCAAGCTGCAAGGGATGGGCAGGCAGGGGCCAAGACTGCTCCACGCAACCCTTCGGCAGCAGTGGGACACGCTGCATGGTCGCAGCCCTGCACAGTAGCAGCAGCGTGACAGCTCGCGCAGGCTGCCGGTGGCACCGGGTGATGCTGGGCGTGTGCCGGGGCACGGCAGGAGGAGAGGAGGCGCGGGCAGCCCAGCTCCACAGCCCACCGAGGAGCAAGTCCATTTTAACCACCGAGCCCCCTCTGACGTCCCACCACCGGAGGCAAGATAACACCTGCGCTGCTGTGCCACAGCACAGGGCTGCCTGGGGACCCCCTTGCCCTGGCTCCGTGTCCCCCAGGGAGCAGGAGGCTTTCGTCTACCTGTTGGCCCCTCATAAAGCAATTTAGATTAGGTCCCAGAGAGGAGGGGACCATGTTCCCTGCTCAGACGTCACCACCATTACCCTTGCACCAGTGAAATCATATTTGCCATGGGGTTAACACACTCCTGATAATGGTGAGTCATGCTTTCTCCCCTCCTCACCGAGCAAGGGGCCACACGGGGACCCATCCTCAGGGTGACGCTCGCTGGAGGGGACCAGCGTGGATTTCAAGGCAAAGGCCAGTCACCCCCTTTCGATGGCCAAGGGACAAAGCGCAGCCTTAACCCTGGGCCAGCTGAGTTACTTATTGTTGCCCTGGGGAAGAGAGACCTGGGTGCAGAGGATGGAAAGTGTGCAAGGGACTTAGCCTGCCAGCTGCAGCCCCCAGAAGATGCCATGAGGTGACTTAAGTCCTTCAGCCGTAAATGTTTTGTTTCTGGGCAGCTGATGCAGAGAGGAGGCAAGAAAACAGTTGGTATGAGAGGTCACACCTCTGAAGAAGAGGAATTCCTGGGCACCGCGTCCTCACCCCTCACCTCCCACCCCAGGCTGCGGGCCGGACAGCGCTGCCTGTGTCTGCAGGCAGGGGCTCCACTAATTAAACAAAGGGGCATTTGAAACACTCGATTCAGAGTTTGATTGCTGCTGGGTTTATTAACACTTTAATTCAAGCAGCAGAAAGGAAGATTTCTGGTTTTAGAGGAGCCAGCTTCTGCACAGCTTTCCCCTGAAGGAGAGAGGCAGCCGGCACAGGCAAGGGCAGGTAGAGCGAGGAGCTCAGGTACAGCAACACCTGCGGTTTGGACAGACAAGCACAGGGCAGAGGCACTGCAAGGGGCCTCCATGTCCCCAACAGCCCCTCAGGTTTCTTTCTGACCTGCGCAACGCCAGACCCCTGTTCCATGGGTGCAGCACAGCGGCTTCAGCCACGGCACAGCAGGAGAGGAGCTGACAAGCATCACACTGAAAAGGGGGCAAGCCTTTCTCCAGCCCCCAGTGCCTCCAGCCCTGCCAAGAGGGAGCCCCTGCATTAAGCGTGGGTGGACTCAGGGAGCAGAAGGTTTGTCCCCTCCAGCTTTCCTGGCCTTTAACTTGAACGTATGCAACGATGTGAAACTTGGCTACAGGGCAAGGCAGGTTGAAAAGGATTTTCCACTTCTTTACCGGCAGGAGCAGAGGATGGGGAAGGGAAGGACACTGGGTGCATGAATGTGGTGGCAGTGGTTATCTCTGCTTCACGCAATAGCCACATTCCCTGTTATCGATAAGCCGGGTCCTTGAGGGCAGGCTGGATGTGGCCCAGCCCAGGGCCAGAGAGGACAGGAGCCCAGACTGCCCTGGGAGCCAGCTCCGCTGACGGTGAGCGTGAGCAAAGCAATAGAGCCAAACCAGCCAGCGCAGCACAGAGCCAGGCCCTCGGGTCGCTTCTTGCCCCTCACCAGCTCAGCGAGAAAAGCTGAGGGTGCTCTGGGTTTTCCTGCATGAAAGCCACGGAGGAGCAAAGCCCCAGCTCAGGACAGGAGTGGGATGCAAGGGGGATGGCCAGGCAGGGGAAAAGCAGAGGAGGGGTGGGAAGAGGGCTGGGTGGGGACAGCTCCCTCCTCCGAGCTCCTGGGCTGGAGCCCTCGCCTCCCAGGACAGCATGATGGAGCAGGGAGCCTTGCAGCCCCTTGCTGGAGGGCCAGGCTGCAATGACTAATCCCCTGTCATATATATAAGGAATATAATTATATTATTATTAATTATAATAAGGAAATTAGTCCTTCCGCTCTCTTCTTCTTGCTCTGGATGGTGCCTCAGATGGAGAAAGGGGGCAATAAAATACTAACATGCCCTTATCTTCAAAAGCAATAAAGGCACTATAAATGCCCAGCACACCCAAACCCACAGCTGCACCTGGGCCAGGGGCTGCAACCTCATCGGCTGATCATGAGAAACATGCAAAGAGTCCTGACTTTTTCCAAAGAGGGAACAACACATCCGCATCACCAAGGCCTTTGCAGCCAGCCCTTGCCCACTGGGCACCCCCACCCACTGCCCACGGCACCCCTGGCCAAAGCACCCTCCTGCTTCCCTGGCCCAGCAGCGCCTGGCCCCTGCCCTATGCAAGCAGAGCCTCTTCTCTTGCAGAGCAAGCACTGGGTAGGGATGCCCGAGGGGTGAAAGGGCACAGGTATGTCCCACACCCAGCCAGATCCCACACCTCCTGCCTCCCTGGAGCCCTCCAGGCAAGCAAAGCTTAGCTCCTTCTGGCATCCCCATCCTGCCTCTCATTCCTGCCCAGCACAGCTGATCCAAAGCAGCAGCAAATAATCCATGCAAGCTCTCTGAGGAGTATCAGGCCAGGTGCTGGGAGAGCCCATCTCTGCCCGCAGCCCCCAGGAATTGCTCAGATAGGAGAGGCAGGAGGGGGAAGAAAATTCAGGCCAAGTACCTGATGGGCCGAGGCGGCACTTGGAAAGGACCTCCACATTCCTCCGCCCTCCTCCCTGCCGCAGCACACTCTCAGCTGCCTCCCACACCACGCTGGAGCCTCCCGGCCTCTCAGCAAGCCAGGGCTGGCATGAAAGAGGACAAACTCTTCCTACCCATGGCATTACAGCAGCCTTTTCAGGAGCACCAGAGAATGCGCTATGGCGAGGCACTGCAAATCCTGACTCCCGGGCTGGGCTAAGCAACAGCTCCAGTCAGGGACTGTGCTGGTGAGAATGGGAGATGCACTCCATGCCCCAGCCATGCCCCAGGCCCCACCTGGTGTCCCTGCTGGTGGCCAGACTCTAGCCTGGGAAACAGACTCATGGTTTCACCTCAGGGCATCTATGATGCTTAGCCGGCAATTGCGCTCACATTTTGCCTCCAAAGGCTTCCTGCCCTCCCGAAGCCTTAGGGATGGCCCCATCTGCAGTTACACAGCCAGGACACTGCCATGAGACCATTGGTGCCTGGCTCTTCTGGTTTTAACGGAAGACATTGCAAAGGAAGTGAGAGGTAGTAAGAAACCAGCTCCTCTTTGGAAAACACCTTCAGTTGGAGGAAAAGCCTGTCCATAAACTCATGGCTTTCCTTAGCCTCCTGGAAGAGACCTGTTGAAAGGCGCTTTAAAGGATCTTTTGGTCTCTAAAGAAAAGATATGAGGGAAACAGGGCGGAATGAACTCCATGGCACTGCAGAGAACAGAGACCTTTGGGTGCACCAGAGGAGATTGCTAGAAAGCACCATCCTGGCTGGGTTTGAACAACAGCTCAGAAATCCATCAGGAGAGTTATAAAAAGTGTTTATCTCAGAAAACCATGATACCTGTGAAGAGGACGTGGAGGTTTGATCTTCCAGGCATTACATTAACATCACAATCAGATTTCTCAGTAATTTGAGTCTAATCTACGCTAGAGGAGCTTCAGGTTAGCGATCACAGCAAACCTAGCATACTTGCAATCAGTAGCAGTGAGAGCAGGCTTTATCGGTAGAACCTAAAACAATTCAGTGAGCAAAATAAGCTT